TTTGTAATTCTAGTGATAAAACTGCTATTTTATCTGTTTGGGTTTCTTCTTCACGTCTTCTTCATGACAGGAAGGTGATGACAGTCTGCTGGTAAGAGTGGTGCCTGCAAAATCACAAAAACAACCGGGAAAGATCAAGATGAAGTTTGAGGACTTGGAGAAGAGCAGAGAAGAGGAACTAAAGACGCGAACTGAGGAGGAAAAGAAGAAGAGATACGATGAAAACCGCCGGTCGTTCCGAGAGGCCAAGCATCGCTCCATGATTGAACAGGTGAACAATCTGTGTTTAAAGATGAATGCCATCTGTACTAGAAAGAGTTTTGCTAACTTTGGCAAAATTAAAAAAATAAACTTTTGACTAAAAAAGTTTCTATCTTCAAAAAAGCTGGACGATGCAGAGTCTACTCCCAAGGAGAAGGAGCAGGTGACCCCAGGTAAACTGCGTCTGACCTTTGAAGAACAGGAGAAGGAGCGACAGGAGCAGCAGAGAAAACAGGCAGAGGAGGAGGCCCGACGCAAACTGGAGGAGGAAAGAAAAGCTTTTGAAGAGGCCAAGCTGGGCATGGTGAGTATATTTTCCACAACCAGCAGATATATTGGTTTACATATACAAAATATAGAGTGGACACTTTTTTACTATTCAGACACTTGAAGTTTATCCAAAACTGAAAATTTGCTAAAGATTTACTCACCTTCAGGCCATTAAAAAAGTACTGTGAATGAGTTTGTTTCTTTATCGCAAGAAATTTGGAGAAATTTAGCATTACATCACTTGCTCACCAATGGATCCTCTGCAGTGAATGGGTGCCGTCAGAATGAGAGTCCAAACAGCTGATAAAAACATCACAATAATACATAAGTAATCCACACAACTCCAGTCCATTTCGAGAAAAACTCTAGCAACATTTGTTTGCGGACACTACTCGGTTTGATATTTTGTATCTAATTCATTAAATTTCAGACATTTTTAAAACTGACTTCAGTGTCCAAAGAGTTTTTACAGTGGGGCCACTGTATATGTGTAATATGAATAATAATAAACAGTTTATCACAGGTCCAGGATGATGAGGATACTCAGGATGCAATGGAGGAGAAGGAAGAATTCAGACCTGGTAAACTTCGACTCAGCTTTGAGGAGCTGGAAAGACAGAGGCTGGAAGAGGAACATAAGCGAGTGGAAGGAGAAAGGAAAAGACGTATCGAAGAAGAGAGAAAGGCCTTTGCCGAGGCCAGAAAGAGCATGGTCAGTTTGTGTGCTTGTAAAACAGCACCATGGTAATATCATATTTTTTTTTGTTTTATGTGTACTATGGTAACCATGATATTTTGACAGCATATATCAGTGTTACCTTCTGATCAGGCCTACATAATATTTAATAGACACAAACTGCTCACTATTATTACAAAAGGTCATAGAAAACATGTACAACATGTCTGGCTTGAAATATAACAGCTACAATCTAAAATCAGACAGTGATAAGGGTTTGCTGACTTGGCACAGTTGGACATGTAAGTTGGAAGCCAGATAAAACTCTTGACTGTTGACTAACTAATTTTCCCCAAACCTAATATATTGATTTGCAGGTTGTAAATAGTGATGATGACATCCTGCTGGCCATGATAAACTCAGATGGGGCCAAACCCGGGAAGTTGGCCATCAGCTTTGAGGATTTGGAAAAACAGAGACGAGAAGAAGAGCAGAAAAGGAAAGAGGAGGAAGCCAAGCGACGCCTGGAAGAGGAGAAAAGACTTTTCGCAGAAGCTCGCAAGAATATGGTAGGACCATGGATGAGATTAAACATAATGTAGTTGCACATGAACAGTCCGTTTGCATGCATTAATGTATGTTATATGAACAAAACAAATCAACAACAAAAAGTCCATTAATGGGCTTATATTTAACATTCTTGTGACAGGTGCAGGATGATGATGAAACTCTGGTGAGGACAGAGTCACAGGAAGCAATGCACCTAGGGAAACTAGAAATCAACTTTGAAGAGATGCTGAAAATGAAAGAGGAGGCAGAGCGAAAGCGCAAGGACGAGGCCAAACGTCAAAAAATGGAGATGGAGAAGAAAGAGTTTGAGCAGTTGCGCCAAGAGATGGGCGAGGTCAGCTGTGCCAATATAATGATCATTACACTTACAATTTCAATACGCTTCAATTATTTACATATGTTTTGTGGGTTTGATTCAGGATGAGATCAATGAAAGCTCTGAGGTGGTGAGCACCGAGTACGAGGAACTAACAAAGCTGAAGCGAACCGGCTCCATCCAGGCCAAAACCCTGAAATCTAAGTTTGAGAAGATCAAGCAGCTCACAGAGGAGGAGATCCAGAAGAAGATCGATGAGGCACGGGCAAGAAGGAAAGAAATTGACGAGAAAATCAAGGAGAGAGAGGCAGAGCGCTGTCAGGAGGTAAAAGAACGAGGGAATTTCTCATATTTTCATTCCAGCTCAAGAACTTTGAAATGAGGAATTTTGCTCATTTCTTTCACAGGATGAAGATGAGGACAAAACAACTCCAGCTAAAGCAGAGGACGTCCCGTTCAGACAGAAAGTGGACATGCGTGCGCGATTCGAACAAATGGCCAAGGCCAGAGAAGATGAGCAGAAGAGGAAGATCGAAGAGCAGAAATTACAGAGGATGCAATTTGAACAACAGGAAATTGACGCTGCTCTCCAAAAAGTAAACCTCTCCTGGGCTGCTTTGTTTAAGAGCTAAATGGTGGACTGATCTCAACACTAATGCATGACAGAGCTGCATGCATGTGATTTCTGTTGTTTTGCTGTGTTTTCCGAGTGTGAAACACTTTGTCATGTGTCTTGTTAGAAAAGGGAAGAAGAGGAGGAGGAAGAGGGTAGCATCATTAACGGCTCCGCCGCCTATGAGGATGAAGAGGACCATGCCAGGTCGGGCGCTCCGTGGTTTAAAAAGCCCCTGAAGAACCAGTCGGTGGTCGACGCAGAGCCTGTGCGGTTCACAGTGAAGATAACAGGAGAACCCAAACCAGAGGTCACCTGGTGGTTTGAGGGTGAGCTGCTGCCGGACTCTGAAGATTATCAGTACATTGAGAGAGGCGAGACCTACTGCTTGTACTTGCCAGAAACGTTCCCCGAAGACGAAGGAGAGTACATGTGCAAAGCCGTCAACAGCCGAGGAACTGCCGCCAGCACCTGCATTCTCACGATTGAAAGTAAGCCGCCCTCCATCTCCACTAACCACCTGCATGCTGAGATTTCTTATGGCGTCACTAACCTCGAACGGACTGCACACTCGGCTTCCGCTCGGTTCTTCTTCTTCTTGTTAATCTGTGTCTCTCTGTCTCCTTGTCTTTCTCTTTCCAGCTGAGGACTACTGATGCTCTCCTTCTCTGGAACTTTCCCAGACTTTTATTATTTTCTTTTTGATAAAAGTTCATTTCTGAAGGTAGGGCCAAAAACCGAGGAGGAAGGAGCGATATTTATCTCTCTCGTTTTTTTATTTTTGCCATTCCTCCTGAAGATATGCTCAATGATGAAGTGCAATCTGTTGTTTACATTAGATGCTGCACTCGCGGTTAACAAAACAACAAAATAAATCCATATTTGGGATGAATTTGTGCCAAAACACAGATACTATTCCCATCTTCTAGCATAAATACATAGCGTAGCTGAAAAGAAATCCAGTTAATTAAATACAGTTGAGCATGTTCAAAATATACCCACTATGTCACTGAGGAAGGATTTCATGCTCATGTAATCGAATGAATGAGACGTTACTTGAGAGTTTGATTCAGTATCTGTAAAGGGGCTGTGGTTGCATTTCCTTTGTTAAATTCCTATAAGCACCTCTGTTCAGACTCAGATTGTTTTTCCACATTGTGATCGGAGTATTTAAAGTTTTGAATAAAAATGTACACATAGAGCTTTCATAACGCCAGATGTTTCTATGTTAAAGTGTAGTGAGTAAGTGAAATGTTTGGACAGTGTATGTAGGTTAGCAAGAGGTGATTTTAGGTTTTAGGCAGAATATTTGTGTAATGTACAAAATTATAATAAAATTCATGACACTGAAATGATGTTGTCTGTTTTATGAACTAACACCTTTATTTATATGATAATATAAATGATACATGATTTTAATGATAATGATAATATAAATGATATATGATTTTAAATAAAGTCATTAGTTGCAGACGTGGCCTGATGGAATCATCTGATTACAGATTCAAATCGAATAAAATGCATGATTGTCTGTAAATATGCTATTTTTTTTAGTTATTAGTTATTGCTAATTTGAATTTGAATGTAAGTATAAAGAAAATGAATTCAAATTGAACAAAAAACATAATTTTAACTAGAAAAGCAATGTTTCTTAAGACATGTTAGCTTGCCCAAAATAATAAAAGAAAAATTATCAAAAATCTTTTAAAAGCTTGAAGGCCCCAAATCACATAACATTAGACAAAACATAAAATAAAAATAGAACATTTGCAATAGACAAAGCTTATGAAATGTGCTTGGCAAATCATTTTTCCCTTCTCATAACAGACCACTCTTATCACACCACTCTTATCAAGCAGCTCAAATGGACATATATTTGATTTTAAGTGAACAAACAAGACTTCTTTACTCATTGGAGCCCTTTCTGCTAGACATTTTCAGTGTATTTTCATAAATTTTACCATATCTGACACAACTTTCCTTTTCAGAATGCTACTCTGAACATCTTCCGATTAAGTAGGTCACTTAACATTAAGATAGATGCGTCTTGATGGTTTATTATTCTAAATTATTAATATAAAAAGCAGTCCTCTCCATACCTGCCACCTAAACAGAATACTCTCCAACCAGAATACTACAAAATTGTATTTTGTACTCGCTTGTGCCAACACAAACGCATCAAAACTATTTTTTTTTTTTTGCAAACTGTAACAGTAACGTTAATACATGTTGCATCCGCAGGGAGGCGTAGCTGTGTCATTAATCCACGCACCGCACACGCTATCAAAAACTGTCTGGTGGTAACTATAGCAACAAGGCAAAAAGCTAGACCGCTAGTTAGCAAGCCTCTGCAGCTATCCTTATCTCATTTATCCCCCGGTCAATTCACAAAACATTTAAATACCGAGCTGAACATGCAGTAGCTTCGTGTAGATGAACATATGACTTATGCCGACCAAACAGTATTCGATGTGTGTGTGAAAAGTTTGGGGCTGTTTACATCGAACTAGCCAACTTGCTATCTTGTTCCCATATTTAACGTTACCGCTGTTATTGTGATCTATGATGGGAAAAGATGTGGAGGAAGTCTCCGCGTCTCTAGTACGGGAATATCTCAGTCGAAAGGTGGGTGACAGATCAGTTTCATTCAGTTTATATTCTATTTGGAAGGCTTGCTAGTTACCATGCATGCTAACTATCCTGTACTACCACTCAAAGCAGCATTTTAGGTGATCTTTAAATATATTTACTTAGTAGGATATACATATCGTGTGTTTGAAAGGTAGATTTCTTCTGTAAATGTAAAAATGAAAAAGAAATTGCTCTGGTTGGACGATGAAATGTACTTGCAGGGCCTGAAGAAAACCATAGCTTGCATGGATGAAGAGCTTCCCCGAACTAATTCAAGCATTAATAACAGATCAGATCTACGCAGAATACTTCACCTTGAGGGCCTTTACAAAAAGAATAAGGTATCAAAGTGATCAACACCTGTATTTAAAATATAAAGAATGTTGAAAAAGTAGAGAGGCCATCAAAATGCATTTGTATTTAGGCTGAAGAACATCCTTTGAAGTCAATGTTGGAGATAATCGTGAAGGACAGAATGAGTGAAGGTGGCAAACCCAAAGGATGCCGACATGGTGACAATCAAGCACATCCATTGGAACAAACCATATCCAGTTCTTCCATGGACATGACTGGGAATGTTAAGAGAGAGGAAGATTGTATGGAAAATCTGTTGGGTGACAGTCCAAGGTATTTATTTATTTACAAAAATCCAGTGGATTCGTTTCTTTGAGACTTTCGAGATCTGTTGACAGTAATAAACATTACACCTTTTACATAGGTTATCTGAAAGCAGTGTGTCACAAGTTATTGTGCCTTCCCAAACACCTTCTGAAATCACGCACAAGAGCTTTGCTGTTCACCCTGAGAGTGAGAGATTGGGTAGTGCACCTAAAATCTTCAACAGATTACATTTTGTATCCTAGTCAGTTCAACTGCAGAATATGCTAGCAGCTTTTGTATTGCTTTAAAATAAATGAAGTGCTGTTTTGTCCACATTCAATATTTGTGCATCTGTCAATTTTTAATATTTATAAGCGATTGAGGTGTTCTGTTGTTGGATGTAATAATGAACATAGCAGTCGTCATTTACTCCTGACATCTGAGCCGCTGAACTCGCAGTGGATTTTGTTTGTTTCTGAAGGGAATGCTCCCCCTATCTGCCTAAATGCGTCTATGTTCGCGCGAATCATTCATGATCGAGCCTCATCTACAGAAGAAGTGAGTATAATGTTTTGTAATGAATCTTTGCAAATTGCCTTTCCTAATAATGTGCTAATTAGCAAGTGTCATGATGAATGCGGCTAAAGTAAACAGTCTCTCTGAGAGCAGCTTGGAAGAGAGGGGCGGGGACAGCAGAGCTCATTAACATTTGGGGCGGGGCCAGGAGAGCTCATTAACATTTAAAGGGAAATGCTACAAAAACGGCTTGATCTGAAAAGAGCTATTTTTGACAGGGTAAAAAAATGTGTTTTTACACTACCATTGAGAAATTTGAACCACACTATGTTACAGACTTTTCATTAAGACCCTAAAGAATCATATCAACTTGTGGAAAATGGGCATCATATGACCCCTTTAAAACAATCTGTTATTTAAAATTCTATTGTTTTGAAATGCCTCCCATCCTTTTTCAAATTTTACAGATGACATAGAGAATGAGGAGAGCTTGTGTGATGTTTCTAGAACAACCATACCAATGCTTAGTTTGGACAAGACTCCCATGGACCAGATGACTGCCACTGTAAGTACATTATCATTTTATCTTCCTCGAACCATAATCTGTGATATCAGCCCAGTCTGATATGATATCTGTGCTCTCATGTCTAATTCAGGCTCTTAAGGAGATCATCTTTGGTTCTCCTATGGCTTGTTTCACTGAGGAGTGGAAACAGCAGAATTTTACCTTTTCAGATACTCCTGGTTTGAAGTATGGGATTGTCCAAAAGAAGGTACAGTACTCCAGACAACCTCAGGATTTACTGTAGTTTTGGTTTGTAAACCTTTGCATCATGAGATCTTCTGGGGTTGTTTTATCAGGGAGGACCCTGTGGAGTTCTTGCAGCAGTTCAGGCTTGTGCTATACAGAAGCTTCTGTTTGAAGAATCGAGCAATGACTCATTGGATGAGTGAGTATGAAGCATCAGTCATATTTGTGCCAATTTTTCTGTTGAAAGATTAGATATTTTTTAATATCATTATAATTTTCAAAGCTCTTATTGATCTCACATTTATTTGCATTTTTTATACATAAACCAGAAAATATTTTAGGTTATAAATTGTAACATTTGTATTTTATTGACGTCTCAAATTGTTTATTTTTTTTTAATGTCATCAGGAGACTGGAGGTATCAAACATTTTAAGGACAAAATGTCTATCTCGGGCTTTGGCTGACATACTATGGAGAGCCGGGAATATGAAGAGAGCCACAGTCGCAATGTAAGTGTCACTCATTTAGAATTATTACTTATATTACAAACCTCTTGTTCATTTGTCAACCGTAAAAGACCTGCCCCCACAGAAACACAGGAAGAAGTCTGTTCACCCCAATTGGACGCTACAAATCAGATGGTATTCTAGAAATGGTAAGGTCATTCTTTGACCCTTAAAGTGCCTTCTAATTGCTTCTTAATCTTTTGATGACTACATATTTCTCTTTTGTTAATCGATTTTTTTCATATTCCACATAGATAACATACGTCACTATGGAGACCTTAGATGATCTCACTTCAGTTCTTGAGCAGCATATTAGACAGGTAAGTCTGCGCTTAAATGACACATCCCGTATACTTGATATTTTTTCTATTCTTGTAGAATATATATTTTCAAAAATAGTATAGAAATATATAAGATTTATTATGTATAATACTGTTAATTATGTATTTATATTTATAATATTAGTATTGATGTTTATAATGTTGTTGTTATTTATATTTATTATTTATATTATTTAAATTTGCTATAAGCAAGTTTTGTTATATACGTTATATGCAGGATTTGTATCCAAGCACATCCAGTGATAGTCTTGAAGCATTTTAAGGCATATATCACCTGTTTAATAGCTCTTTATGTGATTGATGATGGCAATTAATAGCAGTTTTCTTTCTTCCTTTTAGTTTGAGTCTGGCCCCTTTGGCTGTATCCTGCTTACTGTCTCTGCCATTCTTTCCAGAACTATTGCAACGTGAGTTTCCACCTCTTTAACTCAGTGCAGACTGTTTACTTTCATATATTCACAGAGCTAATCGATTCGTTTTTTTGTGATTTAGTATACAAAGTGATATGGATGTGCCAACATCCACTCTCATTGGAGCTCATGGCTACTGCACACAGGTTTGCCATATTAACACTTCACAGTCCATATCCTGATACACATATGAAAGCATATTTGATTGTTCTCTTATTGGTCACAGTGTTGTTTGATTTTTGTACAGCTCCAGTGTGTACAGTGTCATTAAGTCTTATATTGTCCCTTTCATTTTTCTTAAGGAATTGGTCAATCTTTTGCTTTGTGGACAGGCAGTTTCAAACGTCTTTGATGATGAAATGAAGCTTGATTCCGGAAATGGAAATTTTACACTTCTGAAGGGAATTAAAGCACATTGTAACATTGGGCTGCTGTCTTTATTTGAGCACTATGATATATGTAAGGTAATGAGGCTTCAAACACTCTAACATATACTTAGATATTAAATCCAAATTTCTTATATCACGATTTCTCTCTTTTTAAAGGTTGGATCTCACCTGAAAACTCCCAAGTTTCCAATTTGGGTAGTGTGCAGTGAGAGCCATTTCAGTGTGCTCTTTTGCCCCTCTGAAGACCTGGCAACTGATCACTGCAGAGAGGAAGAGTTTGACTTGTACTATTATGATGGGCTGGCCAACCAGCAGGAACCAATTAGATTAACAGTCTGTGAGTCTTTTCCTTTGGGTCATTGCTTTTCTGGACACACACACAAAACAAACACTGATTTTATTATACATAGGATTTGTAATAAACACAACCTTTGCACACTTGCTTTGTAATCAGGGTTTATAATAAGTCAGTATTAAAAGGTCTTGTGTGTTTTGTGTCTCTGAACAGATCTACATTGTGCTGCTGGTGCGGCTCAGAATGACAACGCAGACAGTGATCTCATTCCTCCACTGGAGCTCTGCATCAGGACCAAGTAAGTCTCTTATTTCATCACTGCTTAGAGGTGTATCTCTCGTTTATCAGAATATTTCCTATAACATGTCATTTTGATATTGTGCAATAAAGACATGTAGTCATATTAATGCTTCAAATATGTCTTACAGATGGCAAAATGCAGTGGTCAGCTGGAATAATACAGATCCCATTCTTTGACTATTTGACCCCGGTTGGTTTTATGTGGACCTAAATTTCAGTTAGGTTTTATATTTAAAAATGCATGCGTTTTGTATGTATTTTGTCTTTTATGATTGCTGCCATTCTATATATATTTATATTATTTTCATCATTCTACTGCCCATTTTGCTTGTTTTACACAATTGTTTGCTATCACTTTGTCTCTCATAGTGTTATATTGACAGTATGGCATTAGGAACTGTCATGCTTTGACACTTTTTTTTTTTACTTTATTCAAATCATGATTAAATGAATTAGAGAGAATATGACTTGCGAATTGTAAATAATTGGCATTGTTCACTCTCTAATAATTAAAGGGATAGTTCGCTCAAAAATGAAAATCTGTCATCGTTTACTCACCCTCAAACTTGTAAGACTTATTTTCTTCTGAGGAACACAAAAGAAGACATTTTGAAGAATGTTGGTAACCAAACAGTTTTGATGACCATTAAATTACGGACCAAAAAAAAAAAAACTTGTATATTCCACAGAAGAAAGTCATACAGTTTTGGAATGACATGAGGGTAAGTAAATTTTCATTTTTGGGTGAACTATACCTTTAACTGTGTGCAAGAAAAAATTTTCTGAAGACGATATACAGTGTCATTTTGTGCAAAGAATGCTTTTGTTGCAGTCTGTCCCAAAAGGATGGACCCTGATTAGTGTTTTGCATGGAGATGACTCTTTAACTCATTAAAATGTCAAAGAAATGCATTTCAGATATCAAATCTTCTTTGTATTGGATCAATGGGTTATGCCAATGTATTTTAAGAGCTCTCTACATTCTGTTTATGGCATTAGAGGACAGTGTACTCTCAATGTTTGATCATTTATTTTTACATGGAACATCTGGTGTAGTATTTCTCTCCTTGTAATGTTATCATGTTTATACACTTAGTCACTGTTATTTAGGAGTGTAATTTTTAATTAATAGTGATGTATATAAAAAAAGCAACTGACTACAAATGTTACCATCCTATGAAATAATCACAGCCCTGTAGTAACAAACTGGACTGAACAATGGTCATTTGTGCACATGCAAAAGAACATGATAAAGTGTAGAACATTATTTGATAGCATTAGTTGATGAACAGTAACTCCCGTTACAAGATGTTTTCTTGATCATTAATCATATTAAGTCATTACAAAAACAATTTTAGTGATAAAATACAGAAGGTTTAATTGCAAACCTGCAAAAACAGATTGAAATGGTTGATGACTCGCATTAAATGTGTTCAAATGCCCACAGGAGCACATAACTACCACCTTTGGCACTAAATAGGGCTGAATAGCTAGGCTTTCTTGGTAGTAGTTCTGGTTGGTGCTCAGTTGTGGACTAACCAAAACCCCAGTCATCACTCAGGGTCTCATAGTTGGAGCCAACATGTTAGCTATGATTTTGGGATGAGGTTAGAGCCTGATTAAGAGCTGATTATGTGAGTTTTGATGCTATATTTGTACGAATTAGAGATATGCTTACAGCATAGTGGAACTCCGATAACTCCAAAGTAAACAAAAATATTGCGTTGTTTTTCCACAAATCAAGTGTATATTGCAACACAAACATCCCAGATCTTATAAACAGACATGCATTTGAAAGGAAGTATTTCCTGGCAAAAGTATATCATACTTTTAAAACATCTGACTCTGATCACTAACTCATTCACTTTGATCTGTCTTTTCCTTCCTCACAGCTAAAATTGCATCACTCCACGCCTATGGCAAGCCGTTCTGACTTTTATTCATTCTCAGGATATGAATTCTTGATATCAACAATTCAATTTTTACTAGTTAAAATGTTAATTCTTGATATCAGGAATTAGATTTCTACTAGTAACAACTGCTATTTTTGATATCAGCAATTACATTTCCACTAGTAACAATGTTAATTCTTGATATCAACAATGACATCATCACTAGCAGAAATTGAATTCTTGATATCAGCAATTAAATTTCTACTAGTAAAAAATATTATTCTTGATATTGTCCAGGGAATAGCAATAGGCAAGCCGTATTGACTTTTATTCATTCAACTAGTAAAAATTATAATTCTTGATATCTGTAATTGTATTTTCAGTAGTTAAATGTCACCATAGGCTACCATTCAAATTTAATTGTTGATATCAGGAATTGATTTCTTACTAGTTGAAATTCCAATTTCACATATCAGAAATTATATTCATATCAGAAATGCATTTTCAGATATCAGAAATAACAAATGTAACATGTTGAAATGCATTTACTGATATCAAGAATTAACATTTTAACTAGTAAAAATTGAATTGTTGATATGAAGAATTCATATCCTGAGAATTAATAAAAGTCAAAACGGCTTGCCATACCACGCCAACATATCGCTCTGGAACTTACAATTAGATTCCACCCCGCAGCTGAAAGTGCAAATATATTTTCCTCTTACAAATAAAACTCATAAACAGTTATGTCTGAAGGAACGATCTAGTGTCCTTACTGACTGACAAATATAAATCAGTGACTGAGTTCAGTCAGTGTGTGTGTATCACAGTACTCAAACTGTCCTCAAGGTGCCTCTGTTGTGTCATGAATCCAATTTCAATCAACAAATGAAAGTAAAAACAAAATAATAATTAGCAGTGATTTGTTTGACAATGACAGTTCGTGTTCACTTTCTTTTCTCTACACTTTTTGAATTTTGTGCTCAACTGCAACATAGCAACGTTAATAATCTGTACAGACTGACATCTCAGACAACGGTCCTGATGTTATCATACGCGAGTCTCCTATCCGAGGCTCCCAATCATTTTATAAGGGCCATCTGGTGTTTTATTTTTAGGGCCCTGATAATGGAACAATTTCCACCCACACATGGTGATGTCATAAATACAGAAAGTATCGGTCGTTAACCCACCATGGGGATATATTACTCGATTGAAATCATTTGGAAGCGGTAAGGAATCTAGTTAGCCGCTGTGCTGCTCTGACGTTGCTTCCTGTCAATGGAGGACTTCATAGAAAATTGCTTACTTCCGTGTTGCAAAATAAGGTGGATATATTTAGTGTTAAGAGTTTGCTCCCAAACTTGCCTTGTTGCCATTATGTCTTCATGGATGAAGAATACTGACATCACCTGTCTCTTTTCATTAATGCCTGAGTATCACAAGCCAACAGGCACAAAATGAGTGGAGGTGGTGAAAGATTCCCGTGTGACGTGTCAGGAAGGAGGAAAGAAAGATTTGGAAACCTGACAAATAACATGTCCTGGGAGAAAAGCTTTTTTTTTTTCTGTTGTCATGTGCATGCACTTTGGGATCAATAAAACCTGAGGCATCAAAAAGAGTCTAAATGCTAATACCACTGAATGGCAACTAAGTGCTGAATTAATTAAGATACAGCATGTTTGTAAGATCTTCTACTTCACATGTCATGTCTGGGTGATATTGATTTGAATGTCGGCTAATTCATATTCATGTTTTGTATTTCTTCACAAATTGGTGTTAGTCATAAACTGGCAAACACAAAGCTTGGCCCTGCCCCCTCTCAGTGATGTATGAACCATAAATCGCAAGACCACACAAAATAGATCACGGGTCTTTCAGAATGAGATGTGCGGGTTTAAAAAGAATATGGAATCAGCTATAAATAACAGGACAGGGCCCCTCTGGATCATCTAATCGGATTAAAATGTTTACTTTGCAGAATGTTGCCTCAGAGGCAAAGTTATGGAGTACGTCATGTTTCATTTCAGTACAAGCATCCTTTCCTCATCCTTTTCCTAAAGAGATTCATTTTTATGTCAGACTGCTTTCTATTATCATTATTTAGAGTGCAGTAGTTGTTAGACCACAAGAGTTCAGTTGAGTTTTTTTTCTCGTTTTGTATGTGTAACTGTCAAAGACATGTTTTCACAGAGATGTGTATATGTTTCTGTTATAAATTCATGCACATTTGAGTTCATTCATTGTTTAAAAATATTTGACTAAAATGTATGAATGTGATATTCAGAAGGTAATAACTAGAGAATGCGCTCCCTTGAAAATGTTTAAAGTTAGGGTTCTTTAAGAAAGATTTACCATTGAAGTGTAACAGGTCACAAGTCCAGGTTGAGTTGAGCGAGGAACCATGGCATGGGTCGAACTATCATGGATGCTGAGAAACAACAATATACTGTCTGAAAAAGAATTCCTTTATCTGCATGGTCTAAGAGGGCGCACATGGTAGTTTATCTTTAAATTTGTTGCATTTTGTGTATAATGTTTTATATCACTTTACATGAACAATGTGATTTGTTAATAGTGATGTCATTGGAATTTGATTTGTCGCACATGGTCACTTGCATATCAGCAGATATTTGCATGAGAGACTTGAAAAAGGACTCTGAGAAATGCATATTTTGAACATAATGTGCTTTTTTTTCTTGCAGTCTTCACGGTGTCTGCTGAAAAGAGAGAGAGAAACAAATAAACAGCGAAAAGACAGATAGGTTGGTTGGTTGGTAAGATTTTTTTTTTTTATCCCTCTATGCTAACTAAGGCTACATTTATTTGATCAAATACAGTAAAAACAGTACTATTGTGAAATTTTGAATGCCTTTGTTAGACTTATCTCCGGACAGCTTGCCGGTAACTGGAGGATTGTGTGTTTAGGTGTAATTGTGTTAGAACCCTCCCACATATCCTCCCTTGTGCGTCTTCTGTCTCGTTCTTTAATCTCCGCTGTTTGTCTTTGTGATAAGTGATATCCCGTTTCGATCACGATAGATTGTTTATGCCCACCTGATGAGAAGAAGGCTCTGTAACGGCCCTGGTGGATACACATTATTTATAGCGTCAGAATCAAATTAGACTGTTTGTGAAAGCCCAAAATACCTGCCATTTTGACTCCGCAATAATCTCAGTCTGAAGTGATGTATTGATGCTTTCAGACGGAGTCTTAATTACGACATAAGCCGTCGGTTAGCGAGGGATGCATTTGAAAAGTTTTTTTTTAGTAGTGGCTGAATTGTTTGTTGCCAGACATTTAAAGTAACTAGGCTATGTCTGAGGATTTATATTCCCTCTAGACCAGTAAAGCCAACTGCTATTTCATAGAAGACTCTAAA